TTGCGCGTCGCCAATGGTATTATTACTTGACCGCACCGGCCATTATCAGCTTATCGAAAACACTGGGCAAACTGTAGAAGGACTGAATCGCTTATGCATTACTGGTGCGAACGAACCACTGAACTTGAATATATTGGCAAAATTTCATAATTTCAACGCTTTGCTTAGAAAAAAAAAAATGCTTCATATTAAACGGTAATAATACTTTTGGCAATACTTTCTTGGTTTTTTTATGGTACTGTGCAGCACTGTTTCATTTCAGTGAGGCACTGTCAATGTTACAACGTTTTGTACCTCGTAAAGTGAATATTCGTGGACAGAAATTCTACCTGGAATTGGCCAATGATATGAAACTGCCGTTAAATCTGTTCAAAAAAATACAGCCAGCCGATTTCAAACTTTCTATGGCAAAATATGCAATGAGAAGCGATACCCATGTAACATCTTAGACCTTCAAAACTCTCTGGACTTTCAAATCTCTAAGCTCTTTGTCAGTGGGAATGAGAGAAAGAGTTGTACTCGTGCTACAGTAAACAACCTGTTGAACGATTTTCGAAAATTTGGAAGCCAAAACTTTTTGCCAAAAAACGGGATCAAGCAGTGGCTTACCTGCGAGAAGCAATGGCTAGCATTTTGCGTTTTTTATTTTTTTATTTTTTAGTATGAAAAACTTCTACTTTTGCGGGAAAGGAGGGAAAAATTGACAGTTACTAGAACTTGGTGGCTCATTTGCTGGCCTATGAAAAATTTCGCAGGCATCATCAGTTTTGACGTTATTTGAGGAAGAATGGTGAAAATTTTGGTGGTTAGGAGGAGGAAAAAAGAGCAGTAAATGACTGGGATGGTGCTTCTGAGAAAAAATAGAAATTTTAGCGATTTGAGAAGGTGAGAACTCGCTGTTCTTGCACTGGATTGTGATGACAGTTTTCACTTAGAGGCTGGGAATCTACCTTCTTAAATCAGTCGGGATCATAGGAATGATGACTTATGAAAAATTTTGCTGGCATCATCAGATTTGACGTTATTTGAGAAAGGACGGTGAAAATTTTGGTGGCTAGGACCTTGTCCATTCAAATTCAGCGCTCCCGCGCTCTCGGGTATCACCTACGGCCCCGTAAAAATTCTAGCGGATAAGCTGTTAACTCGGAAATCACGGAAAGATATTCACTCTTCAAGGTTTCAAATTCAGCTTTCACGCACTGATTCAGCTTTCATGCATGAAATTTTTAACTTTTTCCAATGTTTGAACTATTTTTGCATAGACTAAAGTACAAAGCAGTGAAAATCATTAATAGGCAGTCTGGTTTTCAATGTTTGAACTATTTTTGCATAGACTAAAGTACAAAGCAGTGAAAATCATTAACAGGCAAATATCGTTTGATGGGCTGAATTGCACAAAACGCATGATCGCACGGGCTACTCTAGTGCGCGATGCTGTTTATTAATCTTTGCTTTCTTTGAGCCAATTTAAAAGTCTTGCAAATTCTGTTTCCGGATTTGTGTGCACTTGAAAAGATTGTTAGTTCATTTGTTGCAGCGTGGTGCTAGGTTTTGTACAGCTATGCTTTGTTAGTTCCCAGAAATCTGTTTTTTTGACAAATTTTGGTGAAAAAACTTGTTTTGTTGAAAAGAATGGTCCCGGTAGTTGTATCTCAGTAACACTGAAATCCTAAAAAACTAATAGTTTGAGCATTCCGGCTAATCTTTGTGAGTGCATGTTGGTATTTGCAGTTAAAACGTGAAACAGTTTATGAAAAAGTGAAAAAAAACGACGAACCTTC